GTAACAGCGGTAGGGGGTTGCGTTTCTCCCATTCCGCCCATCGCCACCATCGCCCGCTCAGCCTTGACAACGATGAACACAACCTTGGTGTTCACATTCGTGGCTGCCTAGCGGCGCTGCTCATGACCATTTCATAGTAATAATGTTGCTGCTGTGGGTAGCAAGAGACATTGACACTCCCTGATGGACGGTTGTTGGCGTTCTCTGGCCCCTCCTGTCCAGGACTGAGTTGTAACAGCGGTAGGAGGCTGCAGACCTTGCTCCCTGTCCCGTCACTGCCTGGGATCTCTGCCCCGTTGGGGCTTCCTTGGTTTGGAGCTGTACCGAGATGTTTTATGTTTGAGCAAGAGTATACCAGGGAGAGGATTCTGGAAGATAAACCATTAGGACACCCACCCTAACCCACCCCCAGATGCGATGCGAACGCAGTAGCAACGTCTGCAGCGAAAACAAACTTGAACGGGTGGCAAAGGAGTCTCCTGACGCCACAGACATCTGCACGCCCTCCACTCCGCTTGCAACACGAAGCCGCGTGGAGTTGAACCGAGAGATCAAAGACGCAGATCTGGCTCCCTGTCCCGTCACTGCCTGGGATCTCTGCCCCGTTGGGGCTTCCTTGGTTTGGAGCTGTACCGAGATGTTGAGATGATGTTCAAAGCGAGTAGGAGAGTAGACCCGGGGAGGATTCTGGAAGACAGAACGTTAGAGTACCCCCCCCCCCGCCTACTGCCGATACAAACACAACTCTGGTAGTAGCTAGGCCAGGCATGGGCAAAGTACGGCCCGTTGGGCTTTTAAATCCGGTCCGTCGAACTTGTCCAAATGATTATTAAATTAAATTTTACCTTTCTCCTGCAATGCCGCCATTTCCCCATTACATGGCGTTGTTTTCATGATGTTTGATCAGTCACGTTACGACATGTTTGTGTTGTTCATGTTCGTGCAATTTGTTAAATTACTTTGCAAATTAATGCTTTGCTAACCTGTTAAAAGGCCAAATCCTTTCATGTAATGATTTTTACACGTCATTTATATTAGGTAACACAAACACTCGATCCATCTGTTCCTGGCCCCACCCCTCGGTCAAATTCTAGAACCCATTGTGACCCGTGAGTTAAAAAACTTGCCCACCCCTGAGCTAGGCCAATTAAAACAGACGCCAAACTATTTGTGGTGTCGCCAGGTACCGGTACAACCGCCTGGAATCGCCGACGGACGCAGACCTTGGGCCTCCTCCACGAGTAGACGGGTGGAGGAGTCTGCAGGTTGCAGCGTTAAAGGAACCCCCCCCTCCCCCAACTGCCACAGTCAACAAACTTGAAAGCAACGGATGGCCCAGGAGCTGCGGTTTTACCAGGAGGTCCGTTAACTGCCTGGGTTTTCCCGATGACGCCCCCAGACGTCCGCACTTCCTTCACGGGACGCACGAGAGGGTTTGCGTTGAGCTCGAAGCGAGAGAGACGTCTGTGTAAATCAGACTTGAGATCTTGCCACTGCCTGGATTCACCGATGATCTCTCTTCACCCTCTTTGCTGGCGTCGTGAGGACGCAGGAGACGCGAGGGATTCTGGAAGACACGGTGTTAAGACGACCCCCCCCCCCAACTCCAATACGAACGCAAAGCCTGAAGTAGTCGTTGATAATGCGAATGGAAACGGCGTTTTAACTTTACCAGGTGTCCCGTTAACGGCCTGGATTCTCCCGACGACGCCCCAGACATCTGCACGCCCTCCACTCCACTTGCAACAACACGAAGTCGCGTGGAGTTGAACCGAGACAAAGACGCAGACCTGGCTCCCTGTCCCGTCACTGCCTGGGATCTCTGCCCTGTTGGGGCTTCCTCGGTTTGGAGCTGTACCGAGATGTTTGATGTTTGAGCGAGAGTAGACAAGGGAGAGGATTCTGGAAGACAGAACGTTAGAGACCCCCCCACTCCCCCTGATACAAACACAAGGCCTGTAGTAGTAGTAGCAGCAAGGCAAATGTGAATGTCAAAGTATTTACGGTGTTACCGGGTCCCGTTAACTGCCTGGAATGGCCGATGATAGAGGAGCAATTTGCGATTCCTTCCCTCTTGCTGTCCCCTTGTACGATGTCGCGAGGTTGCTTGGGAATTGCACAGAGAACGTGGAGTTGCACTGAAGTTGCGAGGAGTTGGAGCAAGGTTGAATGAAATTGTTCCGAGGTATGTAAAGTTGCACCGAGGTTGTGTGGAGGAGTTGCACTGAGGAAGTTACGTGGAGTTGAACAGAGACGTCTGCGCTAGGCACAACTGCTGGGGTCCTGTAACACAGAACGTTAGGAGCCCCTCCCCCCACCCACCACCCCAGAGCCACAATGGCCAACACTGCACACCGCTCGCTAGCAATGTCACCATCAACGCCCTTTACTGGCTTAGGGAAATATTCAGGATAACCCTAAGAAAACATTAATTTCAATCTTCAGGTCACATTACGTAAACTTCATGCTGTGGTCATTTGCAAATAAAGGTTTCAAGTTTTGCCTCGATTAAAACTTTCACAAAGTTCTGCCGGCAACTTTTCCGCGCGTGGCCAATTACGAAAACCAAAACGTCAAACTTCAAATAGACATCCACATCGCTCGTTTGGTGAGTAAGGCCGAGGATCGGGCCGGAGACTCGCACGGTTACCTGGGTTGAGAACTCGCCCAGACATCTTTCTCAAAGTTGGGGGTGGCAGGAACGAATGCCAGCGTGTCCGATTCCCCATCACCACCACCACCCGCTCAGCCTTGACAATAATAAAACAACTTCCATGATGCTCACGCGTGGCTACAGAGCACGGCTCATTGCCATTTATAATAATGAATGCTGCTGTTGTGGGTAGCGAGAGACATTGACACTCCCTGATGGACGCTGTTGGTCGTCTCTGGCCTCTCCTGTCCAGGACTGGGTTGTAACAGCGGTAGGGGGTTGCGTTTCTCCCATTCCGCCCATCGCCACCATCGCCCGCTCAGCCTTGACAATGATAAACACAACCTCCGTGTTCACACTCGTGGCTACCTAGCAGCACTGCTCATGACCATTGCATAGTAATAATGTTGTTGCTGTGGGTAGCAAGAGACATTGACACTCCCTGATGGACGGTGTTGGAGTTGCATCAAGGTTGCGTTGAGTGGCACCGAGGCTGTGTGGAGTTCCAGTAAGAAGTTGCGTGAAGTTGAACAGAGACGTCTGCGCTAGGCACAACTGCTGGGGTCCTGTAACACAACGTTAGGAGCCCCTCCCCCCACCCCGATACAAACAAATCCTGTAGTAGTAGCAGCGATGCAAATTCAAACGCACGGCCAAAGGAGTTGCGGTGTTACCAGGAGGTCCGCTAACTGCCCGTATCCACCACCGATTCGACCGTTTGCACTTCCTTCCTCTGCACTTGAACCGAGACATCGAGACGCAGACCTGGCTCCCTGTCCCGTCACTGTCTGGGATCTCTGCCCCGTTGGGGCTTCCTTGGTTTGGAGCTGTACCGAGATGTTTGATGTTTGAGCGAGAGTAGACCAGGGAGAGGATTCTGGAAGACAGAACGTTAGAGACCCCCCCCCACTCCCCCTGATACAAACACAAGGCCAGTAGTAGCAGTAGCAGTAAGGCAAATGTGAATGTCAAAGTATTTACGGTGTTACCGGGTCCCGTTAACTGCCTGGAATGACCGATGATAGAGGAGCAATTTGCGCTTCCTTCCCTCTTGCTGTCCCCTTGTACGATGTCGCGAGGTTGCTTGGGAGTTGCACAGAGAACGTGTGGAGTTGCACTGAAGTTGCGAGGAGTTGGAGCAAGGTTGAATGAAATTGTTCTGAGGTTACGTGGAGTTGCACGGAGTTGTGTGGAGGAGTTGCAGCGAGATTGTATGGAAGAGTTGCACTGAGGCCGTGTGAGTTGCAACTGAGGAAGTTGCGTGGAGTTGAACAAAGACGTCTGCGCTAGGCACAACTGCTGGGGTCCTGTAACATAGAACGTTAGGAGCCCCTCCCCCCACCCACCACCCCAGAGCCACAATGGCCAACACTGCACACCGCTCGCTAGCAATGTCACCATCAACGCCCTTTCCTGGCTTAGGGAAATATTCAGAATAGCCGTAAGAAAACATTGATTTCAAGCTTCAGGTCACATTACGTAAACTTCATGCTGTGGTTATTTGCAAATAAAGGTTTCAAGTTTTGCCTCGATTAAAACTTTCACAAAGTCCTCCTGACAACTTTTCCCCGCGTTTCCAATTACGAAAACTAATCGCTCGTTTGGTGAGCAAGGCCGAGGATCGGGCCGGAGACTCGCACGGTTACCTGGTTGAGAACTCGCCCAGACATCTTTCTCAAAGTTGGGGGTGGCAGGAACGGATGCCAGCGTGTCCGATTCCCCATCACCATCACCCGCTCAGCCTTGACAATGATAAACACAACCTCCGTGTTCACACTTGTGGCTACCTAGCAGCACTGCTCATGACCATTTCACAGTAATAATGTTGCTGCTGTGGGTAGCAAGAGACATTGACACTCCCTGACGGTGTTGGTTTTCTCAAGCCTCCCCTGTCCAGGACTTGGCTGTGACCATGTGAGAGACTGTTGCTTGGAGGAGCTCTGGCGGGAATGTTCTGAGTCAAGAGACGCTGGATGGGAATTCTAGAAGACAGCGAATTAGAGACCCCCCCCCCACCCTCCCCCAAGTCCCAGTCCCAAACTTGAAAGCAACGGATGCCACTGGAGCTGCAAGGGGTTGGAGCAAGGTTGAATGAAATTGTTCCGAGGTTACGTGGAGTTGCACCGAGGTTGTGTGGAGTAGTTGCAGCGCGGTTGTGTGGAGTTGTAACTGAGGCCGTGTGGAGTTGCAGAGACCGTGTGGCGTTGCACCGAGGAAGTTGCGGAGTTGAACAGAGACGTCTGCGCTAGGCACAACTGCTGGGGTCCTGTAACAGAACGTTAGGAGCCCCTGCCCCCACCCACCACCCCAGAGCCACAATGGCCAACACTGAACACCGCTCGCTAGCAATGTCACCATCAAAGCCCTTTCCTGGCTCAGGGAAATATTCAGGATAGCCGTAAGAAAACATTGATTTCAATCTTCAGGTCACATTACGTAAACTTCATGCTGTGGTTATTCTATAACTAGGCTCCAAGTATTGACTCGTTAAAAAGTTTCGAAGTCCTCCTGACAACTTTTCCACGCGTGGCCAATTACAAAAACTAATCGCTCGTTTGGTGAGCAAGGCCGAGGACCAGGCCGGAGACTCGCAACGTTACCTGGGTTGAGAACTCGCCCAGACATCTTTCTCAAAGTTGGGGGTGGCAGGAACGGATGCCAGCGTGTCCGATTCCCCATCACCGCCACCACCACCCGCTCAGCCTTGACAATAATAAAACACAACCTCCGTGATGCTCACGCGTGGCTACAGAGCACAGCTCATTGCCATTGATAATAAAGTATGCTGCTGCTGTGGGTAGCGAGAGACATTGACACTCCCTGATGGACGCTGTTGGTCGTCTCTGGCCTCTCCAGGACTGGGTTGTAACAGCGGTAGGGGGTTGCGTTTCTCCCATTCCGCCCATCGCCACCATCGCCCGCTCGGCCTTGACAATGATAAACACGACCTCCGTGTTCACACTCGTGGCTACCTAGCGGCACTGCTCATGACCATTGCATAGTAATAATGTTGCCGCTGTGGGTCGCAAGAGACATTGACACTCCCTGGTGGACGGTGTTGGTGTTCTCTGGCCCCTCCTGTCCAGGACTGGGTTGTAACAGCGGTAGGAGGCTGGAGACCTTGCTCCCTGTCCCGTCACTGCCTGGGATCTGCCCCATTGGGGCTTCCTTGGTTTGGAGCTGTACCGAGATGTTGAGATGATGTTCAAAGCGAGTAGGAGAGTAGACCCGGGGAGGATTCTGGAAGACAGAACGTTAGAGTACCCCCCCCCCCCGCCTTCTGCCGATACAAACACAACTCCGGTAGTAGCTAGGCCAATTAAAACAGACGCCAAAGTATTTGTGGTGTCGCCAGGTACCGGTACAACCGCCTGGAATCGCCGACGGACGCAGACCTTGGGCCTCCTCCTCCTCCGCGAGTAGCCGGGTGGAGGAGTCTGCAGGTTGCAGCGTTAAAGGAACCCCCCCCCCCCCTCCCCCAACTGCCACAGTCAACAAACTTGAAAGCAACAGATGGCCCAGGAGCTGCGGTTTTACCAGGAGGTCCGTTAACTGCCTGGGTTTTCCCGATGACACCCCAGACATCCGCACTTCCTTCACGGGACGCACAAGAGGGTTTGTGTGGAGCTCGAAGCGTGAGAGCTGTCTGTGTAAATCAGACTTGGGGATCTTGCCACTGCCTGGATTCACCGATGATCTCTCTTCCCCCTCTTTGCTGGTGTCGTGAGGACGCAGGAGACGCGAGGGATTCTGGAAGACACGGTGTTAAGACGACCCCCCCCCCCCAGCTCCGATACGAAAGCAAAGCCTGAAGTAGTCGTTGATAATGCGAATGGCAACGGCGTTTTAACTTTACCAGGTGTCCCGTTAACGGCCTGGATTCTCCCGATGACGCCCCAGACATCTGCACGTCCTCCACTCCGCTTGCAACAACACGAAGCCGCGTGGAGTTGAACCGAGACAAAGACGCAGACCTGGCTCCCTGTCCCGTCACTGCCTGGGATCTCTGCCCCGTTGGGGCTTCCTTGGTTTGGAGCTGTACCGAGATGTTTGATGTTTGAGCGAGAGTAGACCGGGGAGATGATTCTGGAAGACAGAACGTTAGAGACCCCCCCCCCACTCCCCCCTGATACAAACACAAGGCCTGTAGTAGTAGTAGCAGCAAGGCAAATGTGAATGTCAAAGTATTTACGGTGTTACTGGGTCCCGTTAACTTCCTGGAATGGCCGATAGAGGAGCAATTTATTTGTGCTTCCTTCCCTCTTGCTGTCCCTTTGTACGATGTCGCGAGGTTGCTTGGGAGTTGCACAGAGAACGTGGAGTTGCACTGAAGTTGTGAGGAGTTGGAGCAAGGTTGCGTGAAGGTGTTCTGAGGTTACGTTGAGTTTGACAGAGTTTGTGTGGAGTTGCAGCGAGGTTGTGAGGAGTTGCAGCGAGGTTGTGTGGAGTTGTAACTGAGACCGTGTGGCGTTGCACCGAGGAAGTTGCGGAGTTGAACCAAGACGTCTGCGCTAGGCACAACTGCTGGGGTCCTGTAACACAGAACGTTAGGAGCCCCTCCCCCCTCCCCCACCCCAAAGGCCAACACTGCACACCACTTGCTAGCAATGTCACCATCAACGCCCTTTCCTGGATTACTTAACTATTCGGGACAGCAATCAGAAAACATTAATTTCAATCTTCAGGTCACATGATGTAAACTTCATGCTGTGGTTATTTGCTAATTAGGTTTCAAGTTTTGCCTCGATTAAAACTATCAAAGTCCTGCCGACATTTCCCCGCGTGGCCAATTACATAAACCAAAACGTCAACGAACCTCAAATAGACATCCACATCGCTCGTTTGCTGAGCAAGGCCGAGGATCGGGCCGGAGACTCGCACGGTTACCTGGGTTGAGAACTCGCCCAGCCATCTTTCTCAAAGTTGGGGGTGGCAGGAACGGATGCCAGCGTGTCCGATTCCCCCATCACCACCACCACCACCCGCTCAGCCTTGACAATAATAAAACACAACCTCCGTGATGCTCACGCGTGGCTACAGAGCACGGCTCATTGCCATTGATAATAAAGAATGCTGCTGCTGTGGGTAGCGAGAGACATTGACACTCCCTGATGGACGCTGTTGGTCGTCTCTGGCCTCTCCTGTCCAGGACTGGGTTGTAACAGCAGTAGGGGGTTGCGTTTCTCCCATTCCGCCCATCGCCACCATCGCCCGCTCAGCCTTGACAACGATAAACACGACCTCCGTATGTCCACGTGTGGGCTACACAGCCAAGGCTCACTGCCATTGATAAATAATGTTGCTGTATGGGAAGTACAAGAGTCATTGACACTCCCTGGTGGATGGTAAAGGCTGTATATGGCTTCTCCCGCCTTCCACCCAGGGCTGGGTTGGTGTTGTACAGCAGTGCGGCTGCTGGCTCTGTGCATCAGCTTGCGTTTCCGATTCACCACCACCACCACCTGCTGAGCCTTGACAATGATAAACACAACTTCCGTGTTCACACTCGTGGCTACCTAGCAGCACTGTTCATGACCATTGCATAGTAATAATGTTGCTGCTGTGGGTAACAAGAGACATTGACACTCCCTGATGGACGGTGTTGACGTTGCATCAAGGTTGCTTTGAGTAGCACCGAGGCTGTGTGGAGTTCCAGTAAGGAATTGCAGAGACGTCTGCGCTAGGCACAACTGCTGGGGTCCTGTAACACAGAACGTTAGGAGCCCCTCCCCGCTCCACGATACAAACAAATCCTGTAGTAGTAGCAGCGAGGCAAATTCAAACGCACGGCCAAAGGAGTTGCGGTGTTACCAGGAGGTCCGTTAACTGCCCGTATCCACCGCCGATTCGACCGTTTGCACTTCCTTCCTCTGCACTTGAACCGAGACATCAAAGACGCAGACCTGGCTCCCTGTCCTGTCACTGTCTGGGATCTTTGCCCCATTGGGACTTCCTTGGTTTGGAGCTGTACCGAGATGTTGAGATGATGTTCAAAGCGAGTAGGAGAGTAGACCCGGGGAGGATTCTGGAAGACAGAACGTTAGAGTACCCCCCCCCCCAACTGCCGATACAAACACAACTCTGGTATTAGCTAGGCCAATTAAAACAGACGCCAAAGTATTTCTGGTGTCGCCAGGTACCGGTACAACCGCCTGGAATCGCCGACGGACGAAGACCTTGGGCCTCCTCCTCCTCCTCCGCAAGTAGCCGGGTGGAGGAGTCTGCAGGTTGCAGCGTTAAAGGAACCCCCCCCCCCCCCTCCCCCAACTGCCACAGTCAACAAACTTGAAAGCAACGGATGGCCCAGGAGCTGCGGTTTTACCAGGAGGTCCGTTAACTGCCTGGGTTTTCCCGACGACGCCCCAGACATCCGCACTTCCTTTACGGGACGCACGAGAGGGTTTGACGTGGAGCTCGAAGCGAGAGAGACGTCTGTGTAAATCAGACTTGAGCTCTTGCCACTGCCTGGATTCACCGATGATCTCTCTTCACCCTCTTTGCTGGCGTCGCGAGGACGCAGGAGACGCGAGGGATTCTGGAAGACACGGTGTTAAGACGTCCCCCCCCCCCCCAACTCCGATACGAACGCAAAGCCTGAAGTAGTCGTTGATAACGCGAATGGCAACGGCGTTTTAACTTTACCAGGTGTCCCGTTAACGGCCTGGATTCTCCCGACGACGCCCCAGACATCTGCACGCCCTCCACTCCACTTGCAACAACACGAAGCCGCGTGGAGTTGAACCGAGACAAAGACGCAGACCTGGCTCCCTGTCCCGTCACTGCCTGGGATCTCTGCCCTGTTGGGGCTTCCTCGGTTTGGAGCTGTACCGAGATGTTTGATGTTTGAGCGAGAGTAGACAAGGGAGAGGATTCTGGAAGACAGAACGTTAGAGACCCCCCCACTCCCCCTGATACAAACACAAGGCCTGTAGTAGTAGTAGCAGCAAGGCAAATGTGAATGTCAAAGTATTTACGGTGTTACCGGGTCCCGTTAACTGCCTGGAATGGCCGATGATAGAGGAGCAATTTGCGATTCCTTCCCTCTTGCTGTCCCCTTGTACGATGTCGCGAGGTTGCTTGGGAATTGCACAGAGAACGTGGAGTTGCACTGAAGTTGCGAGGAGTTGGAGCAAGGTTGAATGAAATTGTTCCGAGGTATGTAAAGTTGCACCGAGGTTGTGTGGAGGAGTTGCACTGAGGAAGTTACGTGGAGTTGAACAGAGACGTCTGCGCTAGGCACAACTGCTGGGGTCCTGTAACACAGAACGTTAGGAGCCCCTCCCCCCACCCACCACCCCAGAGCCACAATGGCCAACACTGCACACCGCTCGCTAGCAATGTCACCATCAACGCCCTTTACTGGCTTAGGGAAATATTCAGGAGAGTCATAAGAAAACATTAATTTCAATCTTCAGGTCACATTACATAAACTTCATGCTGTGGTCATTTGCAAATAAAGGTTTCAAGTTTTGCCTCGTTTAAAAGTCCTACCGACAACTTTTCCGCGCGTGGCCAATTACGAAAACCAAAACGTCAAACTTCAAATAGACATCCACATCGCTCGTTTGGTGAGTAAGGCCGAGGATCGGGCCGGAGACTCGCACGGTTACCTGGGTTGAGAACTCGCCCAGACATCTTTCTCAAAGTTGGGGGTGGCAGGAACGAATGCCAGCGTGTCCGATTCCCCATCACCACCACCACCCGCTCAGCCTTGACAATAATAAAACTTCCATGATGCTCACGCGTGGCTACAGAGCACGGCTCATTGCCATTTATAATAATGAATGCTGCTGTTGTGGGTAGCGAGAGACATTGACACTCCCTGATGGACGCTGTTGGTCGTCTCTGGCCTCTCCTGTCCAGGACTGGGTTGTAACAGCGGTAGGGGGTTGCGTTTCTCCCATTCCGCCCATCGCCACCATCGCCCGCTCAGCCTTGACAATGATAAACACAACCTCCGTGTTCACACTCGTGGCTACCTAGCAGCACTGCTCATGACCATTGCATAGTAATAATGTTGTTGCTGTGGGTAGCAAGAGACATTGACACTCCCTGATGGACGGTGTTGGAGTTGCATCAAGGTTGCGTTGAGTGGCACCGAGGCTGTGTGGAGTTCCAGTAAGAAGTTGCGTGAAGTTGAACAGAGACGTCTGCGCTAGGCACAACTGCTGGGGTCCTGTAACACAACGTTAGGAGCCCCTCCCCCCACCCCGATACAAACAAATCCTGTAGTAGTAGCAGCGATGCAAATTCAAACGCACGGCCAAAGGAGTTGCGGTGCTACCAGGAAGTCCGCTAACTGCCCGTATCCACCACCGATTCGACCGTTTGCACTTCCTTCCTCTGCACTTGAACCGAGACATCGAGACGCAGACCTGGCTCCCTGTCCCGTCACTGTCTGGGATCTCTGCCCCGTTGGGGCTTCCTTGGTTTGGAGCTGTACCGAGATGTTTGATGTTTGAGCGAGAGTAGACCAGGGAGAGGATTCTGGAAGACAGAAGGTTAGAGACCCCCCCCCACTCCCCCTGATACAAACACAAGGCCAGTAGTAGCAGTAGCAGTAAGGCAAATGTGAATGTCAAAGTATTTACGGTGTTACCGGGTCCCGTTAACTGCCTGGAATGACCGATGATAGAGGAGCAATTTGCGCTTCCTTCCCTCTTGCTGTCCCCTTGTACGATGTCGCGAGGTTGCTTGGGAGTTGCACAGAGAACGTGTGGAGTTGCACTGAAGTTGCGAGGAGTTGGAGCAAGGTTGAATGAAATTGTTCTGAGGTTACGTGGAGTTGCACGGAGTTGTGTGGAGGAGTTGCAGCGAGATTGTATGGAAGAGTTGCACTGAGGCCGTGTGAGTTGCAACTGAGGAAGTTGCGTGGAGTTGAACAAAGACGTCTGCGCTAGGCACAACTGCTGGGGTCCTGTAACATAGAACGTTAGGAGCCCCTCCCCCCACCCACCACCCCAGAGCCACAATGGCCAACACTGCACACCGCTCGCTAGCAATGTCACCATCAACGCCCTTTCCTGGCTTAGGGAAATATTCAGAATAGCCGTAAGAAAACATTGATTTCAAGCTTCAGGTCACATTACGTAAACTTCATGCTGTGGTTATTTGCAAATAAAGGTTTCAAGTTTTGCCTCGATTAAAACTTTCACAAAGTCCTCCTGACAACTTTTCCCCGCGTTTCCAATTACGAAAACTAATCGCTCGTTTGGTGAGCAAGGCCGAGGATCGGGCCGGAGACTCGCACGGTTACCTGGGTTGAGAACTCGCCCAGACATCTTTCTCAAAGTTGGGGGTGGCAGGAACGGATGCCAGCGTGTCCGATTCCCCATCACCATCACCCGCTCAGCCTTGACAATGAAAAACACAACCTCCGTGTTCACACTTGTGGCTACCTAGCAGCACTGCTCATGACCATTTCACAGTAATAATGTTGCTGCTGTGGGTAGCAAGAGACATTGACACTCCCTGACGGTGTTGGTTTTCTCAAGCCTCCCCTGTCCAGGACTTGGCTGTGACCATGTGAGAGACTGTTGCTTGGAGGAGCTCTGGCGGGAATGTTCTGAGTCAAGAGACGCTGGATGGGAATTCTAGAAGACAGCGAATTAGAGACCCCCCCCCACCCTCCCCCAAGTCCCAGTCCCAAACTTGAAAGCAACGGATGGCACTGGAGCTGCGAGGGGTTGGAGCAAGGTTGAATGAAATTGTTCCGAGGTTACGTGGAGTTGCACCGAGGTTGTGTGGAGTAGTTGCAGCGAGGTTGTGTGGAGTTGTAACTGAGGCCGTGTGGAGTTGCAGAGACCGTGTGGCGTTGCACCGAGGAAGTTGCGGAGTTGAACAGAGACGTCTGCGCTAGGCACAACTGCTGGGGTCCTGTAACAGAACGTTAGGAGCCCCTGCCCCCACCCACCACCCCAGAGCCACAATGGCCAACACTGAACACCGCTCGCTAGCAATGTCACCATCAAAGCCCTTTCCTGGCTCAGGGAAATATTCAGGATAGCCGTAAGAAAACATTGATTTCAATCTTCAGGTCACATTACGTAAACTTCATGCTGTGGTTATTCTATAACTAGGCTTCAAGTATTGACTCGTTAAAAAGTTTCGAAGTCCTCCTGACAACTTTTCCACGCGTGGCCAATTACAAAAACTAATCGCTCGTTTGGTGAGCAAGGCCGAGGACCAGGCCGGAGACTCGCAACGTTACCTGGGTTGAGAACTCGCCCAGACATCTTTCTCAAAGTTGGGGGTGGCAGGAACGGATGCCAGCGTGTCCGATTCCCCATCACCGCCACCACCACCCGCTCAGCCTTGACAATAATAAAACACAACCTCCGTGATGCTCACGCGTGGCTACAGAGCACAGCTCATTGCCATTGATAATAAAGTATGCTGCTGCTGTGGGTAGCGAGAGACATTGACACTCCCTGATGGACGCTGTTGGTCGTCTCTGGCCTCTCCAGGACTGGGTTGTAACAGCGGTAGGGGGTTGCGTTTCTCCCATTCCGCCCATCGCCACCATCGACCGCTCGGCCTTGACAATGATAAACACGACCTCCGTGTTCACACTCGTGGCTACCTAGCGGCACTGCTCATGACCATTGCATAGTAATAATGTTGCCGCTGTGGGTCGCAAGAGACATTGACACTCCCTGGTGGACGGTGTTGGTGTTCTCTGGCCCCTCCTGTCCAGGACTGGGTTGTAACAGCGGTAGGAGGCTGGAGACCTGGCTCCCTGTCCCGTCACTGCCTGGGATCTGCCCCATTGGGGCTTCCTTGGTTTGGAGCTGTACCGAGATGTTGAGATGATGTTCAAAGCGAGTAGGAGAGTAGACCCGGGGAGGATTCTGGAAGACAGAACGTTAGAGTACCCCCCCCCCCCGCCTTCTGCCGATACAAACACAACTCCGGTAGTAGCTAGGCCAATTAAAACAGACGCCAAAGTATTTGTGGTGTCGCCAGGTACCGGTACAACCGCCTGGAATCGCCGACGGACGCAGACCTTGGGCCTCCTCCTCCTCCGCGAGTAGCCAGGTGGAGGAGTCTGCAGGTTGCAGCGTTAAAGGAACCCCCCCCCCCTCCCCCAACTGCCACAGTCAACAAACTTGAAAGCAACGGATGGCCCAGGAGCTGCGGTTTTACCAGGAGGTCCGTTAACTGCCTGGGTTTTCCCGATGACACCCCAGACATCCGCACTTCCTTCACGGGACGCACAGGAGGGTTTGTGTGGAGCTCGAAGCGTGAGAGCTGTCTGTGTAAATCAGACTTGGGGATCTTGCCACTGCCTGGATTCACCGATGATCTCTCTTCCCCCTCTTTGCTGGTGTCGTGAGGACGCAGGAGACGCGAGGGATTCTGGAAGACACGGTGTTAAGACGACCCCCCCCCCCCCAGCTCCGATACGAACGCAAAGCCCGAAGTAGTCGTTGATAATTCGAATGGCAACGGCGTTTTAACTTTACCAGGTGTCCCGTTAACGGCCTGGATTCTCCCGATGACGCCCCAGACATCTGCACGCCCTCCACTCCGCTTGCAACAACACGAAGCCGCGTGGAGTTGAACCGAGACAAAGACGCAGACCTGGCTCCCTGTCCCGTCACTGCCTGGGATCTCTGCCCCGTTGGGGCTTCCTTGGTTTGGAGCTGTACCGAGATGTTTGATGTTTGAGCGAGAGTAGACCGGGGAGATGATTCTGGAAGACAGAACGTTAGAGACCCCCCCCCCCACTCCCCCCTGATACAAACACAAGGCCTGTAGTAGTAGTAGCAGCAAGGCAAATGTGAATGTCAAAGTATTTACGGTGTTACTGGGTCCCGTTAACTTCCTGGAATGGCCGATAGAGGAGCAATTTATTTGTGCTTCCTTCCCTCTTGCTGTCCCTTTGTACGATGTCGCGAGGTTGCTTGGGAGTTGCACAGAGAACGTGGAGTTGCACTGAAGTTGTGAGGAGTTGGAGCAAGGTTGCGTGAAGGTGTTCTGAGGTTACGTTGAGTTTGACAGAGTTTGTGTGGAGTTGCAGCGAGGTTGTGAGGAGTTGCAGCGAGGTTGTGTGGAGTTGTAACTGAGACCGTGTGGCGTTGCACCGAGGAAGTTGCGGAGTTGAACCAAGACGTCTGCGCTAGGCACAACTGCTGGGGTCCTGTAACACAGAACGTTAGGAGCCCCTCCCCCCTCCCCCACCCCAAAGGCCAACACTGCACACCACTTGCTAGCAATGTCACCATCAACGCCCTTTCCTGGATTACTTAACTATTCGGGACAGCAATCAGAAAACATTAATTTCAATCTTCAGGTCACATGATGTAAACTTCATGCTGTGGTTATTTGCTAATTAGGTTTCAAGTTTTGCCTCGATTAAAACTATCAAAGTCCTGCCGACATTTCCCCGCGTGGCCAATTACATAAACCAAAACGTCAACGAACCTCAAATAGACATCCACATCGCTCGTTTGCTGAGCAAGGCCGAGGATCGGGCCGGAGACTCGCACGGTTACCTGGGTTGAGAACTCGCCCAGCCATCTTTCTCAAAGTTGGGGGTGGCAGGAACGGATGCCAGCGTGTCCGATTCCCCCATCACCACCACCACCACCCGCTCAGCCTTGACAATAATAAAACACAACCTCCGTGATGCTCACGCGTGGCTACAGAGCACGGCTCATTGCCATTGATAATAAAGAATGCTGCTGCTGTGGGTAGCGAGAGACATTGACACTCCCTGATGGACGCTGTTGGTCGTCTCTGGCCTCTCCTGTCCAGGACTGGGTTGTAACAGCAGTAGGGGGTTGCGTTTCTCCCATTCCGCCCATCGCCACCATCGCCCGCTCAGCCTTGACAACGATAAACACGACCTCCGTATGTCCACGTGTGGGCTACACAGCCAAGGCTCACTGCCATTGATAAATAATGTTGCTGTATGGGAAGTACAAGAGTCATTGACACTCCCTGGTGGATGGTAAAGGCTGTATATGGCTTCTCCCGCCTTCCACCCAGCGCTGGGTTGGTGTTGTACAGCAGTGCGGCTGCTGGCTCTGTGCATCAGCTTGCGTTTCCGATTCACCACCACCACCACCTGCTGAGCCTTGACAATGATAAACACAACTTCCGTGTTCACACTCGTGGCTACCTAGCAGCACTGTTCATGACCATTGCATAGTAATAATGTTGCTGCTGTGGGTAACAAGAGACATTGACACTCCCTGATGGACGGTGTTGACGTTGCATCAAGGTTGCTTTGAGTAGCACCGAGGCTGTGTGGAGTTCCAGTAAGGAATTGCAGAGACGTCTGCGCTAGGCACAACTGCTGGGGTCCTGTAACACAGAACGTTAGGAGCCCCTCCCCGCTCCACGATACAAACAAATCCTGTAGTAGTAGCAGCGAGGCAAATTCAAACGCACGGCCAAAGGAGTTGCGGTGTTACCAGGAGGTCCGTTAACTGCCCGTATCCACCGCCGATTCGACCGTTTGCACTTCCTTCCTCTGCACTTGAACCGAGACATCAAAGACGCAGACCTGGCTCCCTGTCCTGTCACTGTCTGGGATCTTTGCCCCATTGGGACTTCCTTGGTTTGGAGCTGTACCGAGATGTTGAGATGATGTTCAAAGCGAGTAGGAGAGTAGACCCGGGGAGGATTCTGGAAGACAGAACGTTAGAGTACCCCCCCCCCCCAACTGCCGATACAAACACAACTCTGGTATTAGCTAGGCCAATTAAAACAGACGCCAAAGTATTTCTGGTGTCGCCAGGTACCGGTACAACCGCCTGGAATCGCCGACGGACGAAGACCTTGGGCCTCCTCCTCCTCCTCCGCAAGTAGCCGGGTGGAGGAGTCTGCAGGTTGCAGCGTTAAAGGAACCCCCCCCCCCCCTCCCCCAACTGCCACAGTCAACAAACTTGAAAGCAACGGATGGCCCAGGAGCTGCGGTTTTACCAGGAGGTCCGTTAACTGCCTGGGTTTTCCCGACGACGCCCCAGACGTCCGCACTTCCTTTACGGGACGCACGAGAGGGTTTGACGTGGAGCTCGAAGCGAGAGAGACGTCTGTGTAAATCAGACTTGAGCTCTTGCCACTGCCTGGATTCACCGATGATCTCTCTTCACCCTCTTTGCTGGCGTCGCGAGGACGCAGGAGACGCGAGGGATTCTGGAAGACACGGTGTTAAGACGACCCCCCCCCCCCAACTCCGATACGAACGCAAAGCCTGAAGTAGTCGTTGATAACGCGAATGGCAACGGCGTTTTAACTTTACCAGGTGTCCCGTTAACGGCCTGAATTCTCCCGACGACGCCCCAGACATCTGCACGCCCTCCACTCCGCTTGCAACAACACGAAGCCGCGTGGAGTTGAACCGAGACAAAGACGCAGACCTGGCTCCCTGTCCCGTCACTGCCTGGGATCTCTGCCCCGTTGGGGCTTCCTTGGTTTGGAGCTGTACCGAGATGTTTGATGTTTGAGCGAGAGTAGACCAGGGAGAGGATTCTGGAAGACAGAACGTTAGAGACCCCCCCCTCCCGCTGATACAAACACAAGGCCTGTAGCAGTAGTAGTAGCAGCAAGGCAAATGTGAATGTCAGTATTTACGGTGTTACCGGGTCCCGTTAACTGCCTGGAATGGCCGATGATAGAGGAGCAATTTGCGCTTCCTTCCCTCTTGCTGTCCCCTTGTACGATGTCGCGAGGTTGCTTGGGACGTGCACAGAGAACGTGTGGAGTTGCACTGAAGTTGTGAGGAGTTGGAGCAAGGTTGCATGAAGGTGTTCTTAAGTTACGTAGAGTTTCCCTGAGGCCGTGTGGAGTTGCAACTGAGGGAGTTGCGTAGAGTTGAACAGAGACGTCTGCGCTAGGCACAACTGATGGGGTCCTGTAACATAGAACGTTAGGAGCCCCTCCCCCCACCCACCACCCCAGAGCCACAATGGCCAACACTGCACACCGCTCGCTAGCAATGTCACCATCAACGCCCTTTACTGGCTTAGGGAAATATTCATGATAGCCGTAAGAAAACATTGGTTTCAATCGTCAGGTCACATTACGTAAACGTCATGCCGTGGTTATTCGCTAATTAGGTTTCAAGTTTTGCCTCGAATAAAACTTTCACAAAGTCCTGCCGACAACTTTTCTCTGCGTGGCCAATCACGAAAACCAAAACGTCAAACGTCAAATAGACATCCACATCGCTCGTTTGGTGAGCAAGGCCGAGGATCGGGCCAGAGACTCGCACGGTTACCTGGGTTGAGAACTCGCCCAGACATCTTTCTCAAAGTTCGGGGTGGCAGGAACGGATGCCAGCGTGTCCGATTCCCCATCACCACCACCACCGCCCGCTCAGCCTTGACAATAAAACACAACCTCCATGATGCTCACGCGTGGCTACAGAGCACGGCTCATTGCCATTGATAAGAAATGCTGCAGCTGTGGGTAGCGAGAGACATTGACACTCCCTGATGGACGCTGTTGGTCGCCTCTGGCCTCTCCTGTCCAGGACTGGGTTGTAACAGCGGTAGGGGGTTGCGTTTCTCCCATTCTGCCCATCGCCACCATCGCCCGCTCAGCCTTGACAACGATAAACACGACCTCCGTATGTCCACGTGTGGGCTACACAGCCAAGGCTCACTGCCATTGATAAATAATGTCGCCGTGTGGGAAGTACAAGAGACATTGACACTCCCTGATGGACGGTGTTGACGTTGCATCAAGGTTGCGTTGAGTAGCACCGAGGCTGTGTGGAGTTCCAGTAACGAATTGGGTGGAGTTGAACAGAGACGTCTGCGCTAGGCACAACTGCTGGGGTCCTGTAACATAGAACGTTAGGAGCCCCTCCCCCCACCCACCACCCCAGAGCCACAATGGCCAACACTGCACACCGCTTGCTAGGAATGTCACCATCAACGCCCTTTCCTGGCTTAGAGAAATATTCAGGATAGCCGTAAGAAAACATTGATTTCAATCGTCAGGTCACATTACGTAAACTTCATGCCGTGGTTATTCGCTAATTAGGTTTCAAGTTTTGCCTCGAATAAAACTTTCACAAAGTCCTGCCGGCAACATTTCCGCGTTTCCAATTACGAAAACTAATTGCTGGTTTGGTGAGTAAGGCCAAGGATCGGGCCGGAGACTCGCACGGTTACCTGGGTTGAGAACTCGCCCAGGAGACATCTTTCTCAAAGTTGGGGGTGGCGGATGCCAGCGTGTCCGATTCCCCATCACCACCACCACCCGCTCAGCCTTGACAATAATAAAACACAATCTCCATGATGCTCACGCGTGGCTACAGAGCACGGCTCATTGCCATTGATAATAAAGAATGCTGCTGCTGTGGGTAGCGAGAGACATTGACACTCCCTGATGGAAGCCGTTGGTCGTCTCTGGCCTCTCCTGTCCAGGACTGGGTTGTAACAGCATAGGAGGTTGCGTTTCTCCCATTCCGCCCAGCGCCACCATCACCCACTCAGCCTTGACAATGATAAACACGACCTCCGTATGTCCACGTGTGGGCTACACAGCCAAGGCTCATTGCCATTGATAAATAATGTTGCCGTGTGGGAAGTACAAGAGTCATTGACACTCCCTGGTGGATGGTAAAGGCCGTACGGCTTCTCCCGCCTTCCACCCAGGGCTGGGTTGGTGTCGTACAGCAGTGCGGCTGCTTGCTCTGAGCATCAGGTTGCGTTTCCGAATCACCACCACCACCTGCTGAGCCTTGACAATGATAAACACAACCTCCGTGTTCACACTCGTGGCTACCTAGCAGCACTGCTCATGACCATTTCATAGTAATAATGTTGCTGCTGTGGGTAACAAGAGACATTGACACTCCCTGATGGACGGTGTTGACGTTGCATCAAGGTTGCGTTGAGTAGCACCGAGCCTGTGTGAAGTTCCAGTAAGGAATTGCGTGGAGTTGAACAGAGACGTCTGCGCTAGGCACAACTGCTGGGGTCCTGTAACACAGAACGTTAGGAGCCCCTCCCCCCTCCCCGATACAAACAAATCCTGTAGTAGTAGCAGCGAGGCAAATTCAAACGCACAGCCAAAGGAGTTGTGGTGTTACCAGGAGGTCCGCTAACTGCCCGTATCCACCGCCGATTCGACCGTTTGCACTTCCTTCCTCTGCACTTGAACCGAGACATCGAGACGCAGACCTGGCTCCCTGTCCCGTCACTGCCTGGGATCTCTGCCCCGTTGGGGCTTCCTTGGTTTGGAGCTGTACCGAGATGTTGAGATGATGTTCAAAGCGAGTAGGAGAGTAGACCCGGGAAAGATTCTGGAAGACAGAACGTTAGAGACCCCCTCCCCCTGATACAAACACAAAGCCTGTAGTAGTAGCAGCAAGGCAAATGTGAATGTCAAAGTATTTACGGAGTTACCGGGTCCCGTTAACTGCCTGGAATGGCCGATGATAGAGGAGCAATTTGCGCTTCCTTCCCTCTTGCTGTCCCCTTGTACGATGTCGCGAGGTTGCTTGGGAGTTGCACAGAGAACGTGTGGAGTTGCACTGAAGTTGTGAGGAGTTGGAGCAAGGTTGAATGAAATTGTTCTGAGGTTACGTAGAGTTGCACCTACGTAACGTGGAGTTGCAACTGAGGCACTTGGAGTTGAACAGAGACGTCTGCACTAGGCACAACTGCTGGGGTCCTGTAACATAGAACGTTAGGAGCCCCTCCCCCCACCCTCCACCCCAGAGCCACAATGGCCAACACTGCACACCGCTCGCTAGCAATGTCACCATCAACGCCCTTTCCTGGCTTAGGGAAATATTCAGGATAGCCGTAAGAAAACATTGATTTCAACCTTCAGGTCACATTAAGTAAACTTCATGCTGTGGTCATTTGCAAATAAACGTTTCAAGTTTTGCCTCGATTAAAACTTTCAAAGTCCTGCCGACAACATTTCCCCGCGTTTCCAATTACGAAAACTAATTGCTGGTTTGGCGAGTAAGGCCGAGGATCGGGCCGGAGACTCGTACGGTTACCTGGGTTGAGAAATCGCCCAGACATCTTTCTCAAAGTTGGGGGTGGCAGGAACGGATGCCAGCGTGTCCGATTCCCCACCACCACCACCACCACCACCCGCTCAGCCTTGACAATAATAAAACACAATCTCCATGATGCTCACGCGTGGCTACAGAGCACGGCTCATTGCCATAGATAATGAAGAATGCTGCTGCTGTGGGTAGCGAGACACACATTGACACTTCCTGATGGACGCTGTTGGTCGTCTCTGGCCTCTCCTGTCCAGGACTGGGTTGTAACAGCGGTAGGGGGTTGCGTTTCTCCCATTCCGCCCATCGCCACCATCGTCCGCTCAGCCTTGACAATGATAAACACAACCTCCGTGTTCACACTCGTGGCTACCTTGAGGCACTGCTCATGACCATTGCATAGTAATGTTGCTGTGGGTAGCAAGAGACATTGACACTCCCTGATGGACGGTGTTGGAGTTGCATCAAGGTTGCGTTGAGTAGCACCGAGGCTGTGTGGAGTTCCAGTAAGGAATTGTTTGATGTTTGAGCGAGAGTAGACCAGGGAGAGGATTCTGGAAGACAGAACGTTAGAGACCCCCCCACTCCCCCTGATACAAACACAAGGCCTGTAGTCGAAGTAGTAGCAAGGCAAATGTGAATATCAAAGTATTTAACGGTGTTACCGGGTCCCGTTAACTGCCTGGAATGGCCGATGATAGAGGAGCAATTTGCGATTCCTTCCCTCTTGCTGTCCCCTTGTACGATGTCGCGAGGTTGTTTGGGAGTTGCACAGAGAACGTGTGGAGTTGCACTGAAGTTGCGAGGAGTTGGAGAAAGGTTGCGTGAAGGTGTTCTGAAGTTAAGTAGAGTTGCACCGAGGTAACGTGGAGTTGCAGCGAGGTTGTGTGGAGGAGTTGCAACTGAGGGAGTTGCGTAGAGTTGAACAGAGACGTCTGTGCTAGGCACAACTGCTGGGGTCCTGTAACATAGAACGTTAGGAGCCCCTCCCCCCACCCACCACCCCAGAGCCACAATGGCCAACACTTCACACCGCTTGCTAGGAATGTCACCATCAACGCCCTTTCCTGGCTTAGGGAAATATTCAGGATAGCCCTAAGAAAACATGGATTTCAAACGTCAGGTCACATTACGTAAACTTCATGCTGTGGTTATTCTATAATTAGGCTTCAAGTATTGACTCGTTAAAAACTTTCAAAGTCCTCCTGACAACTTTTCCCCGTGTGGCCAATTACGAAAACTAATCGCTCGATTGGTGAGCAAGGCCGAGGATCGGGCCGGAGACTTGCACGGTTACCTGGGTTGAGAACTCGCCCAGACATCTCAAAGTTGGGGGTGGCGGGAACGGATGCCAGCGTGTCCAATTCCCCATCACCACCACCACCCGCTCAGCCTTGACAATAATAAAACACAACCTCCGTGATGCTCACGCGTGGCTACAGAGCACGGCTCATTGCCATTGATAATAAAGAATGCTGCTGCTCTGGGTAGCGAGAGATATTGACACTCCCTGATGGACGCTGTTGGTCGTCTCTGGCCTCTCCTGTCAAGGACTGGGTTGTAACAGCGGTAGGAGGCTGCAGACTTGGCTCCGTCCCGTCACTGCCTGGGATCTCTGCCCCGTTGGGGCTTCCTTTGTTTGGAGCTGTACCGAGCTGTTTGATGTTTGAGCGAGAGTAGACCAGGGAGAGGGTTCTGGAAGACAGAACGTTAGAGACCCCCCCCACTCCCCCCGATACAAACACAAGGCCTGTAGTAGTATTAGCAGCAAGGCAAATGTGGGAAGTCAAAGTATTTACGGTGTTACCGGGTCCCGTTAACTGCCTGGAATGGCCGATGATAGAGCAATTTGCGCTTCCTTCCCTCTTGCACGATGTCGCAAGGTTGCTTGGGAGGTGCACAGAGAACGTGGAGTTGCACTGAAGTTGTGAGGAGTTGGAGCAAGGTTGCGTGAAGGTGTTCTGAGGTTACGTAGAGTTGCACCGAGGTAACGTGGAGTTGCAGCGAGGTTGTGTGGAGGAGTTGCACTGAGGTTGTGTGGAGTTGTAACTGACGCCGTGTGGAGTTGCACTGAAGTTGCGAGGAGTTGGAGCAAGGTTGCGTGAAGGTGTTCTGAGGTTACGTTGAGTTTGACCGAGTTTGTGTGGAGTTGCAGCGAGGTTGTGAGGAGTTGCAACTGAGACCGTGTGGCGTTGCACCGAGGAAGTTGCGTGGAGTTGAACCAAGACGTCTGCGCTAGGCACAACTGCTGGGGTCCTGTAACAGAACGTTAGGAGCCCCCCCCCACCACCCCAAAGGCCAACACTGCACACCACTTGCTAGCAATGTCACCATCAACGCCCTTTCCTGGTTACGCAACTATTTCGGGACAGCCGTAAGAAAACATTAATTTCAATCTTCAGGTCACATTACATAAACTTCACGCTGTGTTTTACTGTTGAGGTTTCAGATTATGCCGCGTTAAAAAAAAACTTTAACAGTCTTGCCGACAACTTTCCCCAGCGTGGCCAATTACGAAAACCAAAACGTCAAACAATCCTCAAATAGACATCCACATCGCTCGTTTGGTGAGCAAGGCCAAGGATCGGGCTGGAGACTCGCACGGTTACCTGGGTTGAGAACTCGCCCAGACACTTCTTTCTCAAAGTTGGGGGTGACGGGAACGGATGCCAGCGTTTCATTCCGCATCACCTTCAGCCACTGAGCCTTGAAAATAATAAAACACAACCCCTCCGTGGATGCTCACGCGTGGCTACAGAGCACGGCTCATTGCCATTCTTGTCATATGGATTAACAAGCAGCAGATTAAAGATGTAATTTTAGATTCATCCAACTTGTCTGTTCAGAAAGCTTTGTTACAGAATGTTGGCGTGTGGAAAAGTCTGACACTCCCTGGTGGCTGGTAATGGTCCGTACAGCTTCTCGAGGCTGGTGTTGTACAGCAGTGCGGCTCCTTGCTCTGTGGGTCGAGTTGTTTCCCATTCCCCACTACCATGTGCTGCTCAGCCTTGACAACTATAAAAACACAACCTCAGCGTTCACACGTGACTGGAGAAGCCAAGGCCAATCCGCCATTTGATGAATCATTATAAAATGTTGCCGTGTGGCTGTGCAGCATGAAGAGTTTCAAGGACACTCCCTGGTGGCGGCAAAGATTCCGGCCCCTCCTTCCGCGGCTGGGCTGCCCGTCCGTACAGCAGTAGGGGGGGTTGCGTTTTTCCCCCATTCCACCCATCACCACCATCCATCCGCTCAGCCTTGACAATGATAAACACAGCTCCATGTTCACACCTGGCTGGCGAGCCAACTCGTGACCCATTGAGAAATAACGCGTGCGGTGTGTGAGGAGTCAAAAGGGCACTCCCTGGTTATTGGCGGTGTAATGGGGCTTGGTGTGCGTGGTCTCTTCTCCCCGTTCTCCAGGGCTGGGGGTTGTTGTACAGGGTAGGGGCGGATGTTCGACTAGATTCTGTAACAGAGAACGTGAAAGGCCCACACCCCCCCCCACCACCCACCCCCCCCTCAAGATTTCTGGCAAGCCACAGCAACGTACAGATTCGTATGTGCCACAGGTAGTGGAGCGGGTGCGTGGGAATCCATTGGTTTACCTAGAACATGAGGCACGAGACGCCTCACCGCCTGGGCTATGGAGACGCAAGCTCTGCTAAGGAAGGGGGGGGGGGAGAAACTTCTGGAAGACGTTTGGTTAAGGACAACCCCCCCCCCCCAACCACGTGGGGTAAAAAAAAAATTGCGTGCGGGAGTGGTGACGAGAGGTTTACCGCACAGCCTGCGCCACCCACAGGATTGGCTGGGTCGGTGGGAGCTCGGTACAACAACGCCGCCAACCCACGGAAGCGGCTACAAAACGCACAACGGAGGAAGAGGGAGGGGGGGGGGAGGGTTGGCAAGGGCAGACGGGAGCAGCTGCGCGAACTTCCCGTGGCCCAGTAGCGGCAGTTGCAGAGGGCGGTGGACCGTGGCCGGGCGGTGGAGGAGCGGTGGACAGTATAGCGGCGTTGCGGGCGGAGGCGGTGGGCGCGTTGCCATGGCCGAGCGCGACGTTTGTGACCCGACGACAGATTTCGCGGCAGCAAGGGGAGCCTTGTGCGAGCGAGCGAGCCAGCCCGCCCCGGCGCATCCGCTTCGCGTCTCCCGGACGATGTGCCGCCCCCCCCCCCTTTCTCTCCCCTCGGAGCAATCTGCGCAGAACACCAGGCCGATAAAGAGTTGTCGCTTCACAATGCTCCCCACCCCCCCTAATAAGCACACCAAAGAGCGCAATGCAAGCAAGCTGCTGCATGCCTCGTCAGAATGGCAGTGGAGGGGGGTGGGTCTTCCCGAGCCTTGCCCCAAGTCTCTTAAGCGGTTGCATTTTAACGAATCGCTTCAGAAATCCAACGCAATTTCCACGTTCGTAAAAAAAAAAGTCAATCGTTAAATCTTTCCAGAAGTGGGGGGGGGGGGGAGCCACCCCCCTTCGAGAAGCGCTTGCGGAAGCACGTTTAAGTTTGGGAAAATTTACTTCAAATTCCTCTACAATTTGTCGAGCGTCGATTTGTCCAATCGTTAATTTTCCGAAACCTTCCAGACGCCACACAAATGCGCATTTGCCAGGGGTTTTTTTTTGACGTTGCCAAACCGACGTGAAGCGGCCGCGATGACGACCCCGTAATGAGTTTTTCGTGGAGACTTTTCATCCCGGCGGATTAAAAAAAAAAATCTCTGCAAATTCGTCCGTTTTTCAAATGTTCCAGGAGCAGCGAACAGAACTTTTCATCCCGGCAATTTAAAAACAAAATCTCTGCACAAATTCGTCCGTTTTTCAAATGTTCCAGGAGCAGTGAACGCAACCTTTCGACGGGTTATTCCAGGCTGCAACTTTCCAAGGGAGGGGGTTTTCTTTCTCTCCCCGCCTCGCTCGCACTTTGCTTCCACCACCACCCCACACCAACCCCACAACTCGCCCAACCCACACAAGACGACATGATCTTGGGGGAGGTTGAGCAGAAAAACAGAGCACAACTTTTGGTTTTGGCATCTCGCAGCATTCCTCGCTTTATTTCCTCTTCGCTGTTGTTTCATGGGGTGGGTTGGGGGGGGGGGGTTTGGGGAGAAAAACACGACGGGGGTTTTTATTTCACGATGCTTGACACAACAACAAAATAAAAAAACTCGTCCACATTTCCTTCATGGGTTGAGTTCATCGGGTCGTAAAAGCGGTCGTGTTGGGAGGGTTTTGCGGGGAGGAGAAAGGGCGAGTTAAACAGCCCCCCCTGCAGGGTGGGGGCTGGTATAGGAACATTGGGGATTTTTTGCGCAATTTCACATTGTCACGCATTCCTGGTCTCTCTGCGCCGTCCATTGCTGATTTTACACCCCAACAAGCACGAGATTTCAACTTCGTTAAAGTATTGAAAGGGGACGGACACATTAATCTTATTGCAGGCTGGTACACTCAGTTTACAACTTAGTTCCTACCAGTGTAACCTGTTACGTTACACGAACCTACACAGCCCCCCGTCTTGAACCGTACACATACACAGACCTGCGACTCAAACGCACAAGGGCTCCCAGTCTCTCCCGCCAGGCACAACCCAACTCCCTCCCAGAGAAACAAACACGACTGACCTGGGGGGGGGGGGTCACAAAAACCGAGTTGGGAGAGCTTCCGTAAAAGTATTTTTTTTACTTTAAAAAAAATCCGGTTGCCCTAAAAGCCAACCCCCACCTCCCCCCAAACCCACCACAGTCACAAACACCGGCAAACCAACAACACCACCACCACCATCACCGGACGTGGGCCACACGGGAAAAAAGTGCTTTGGTTGGGATAACACAAAACTTAAAACCGAATAACCGAGAACGCACGTTTAACCCCCCCAACCCACCACCCGTTTTTGTACATTTCGCTTGGAGCGCAACACCACGAGGACCCTCAACGCCGCCGCCTCGCTACACAAAGCACGGCGGCGGCGGGGGGGGGTCCGAAACCGATTCAGCCGATGACCGCACGTCGCAGCGAAAAACAGGGCCCCCCCCCCTCCAGGGTGGGGGGGGCTGGTATAGGAACATTGGGGAATTTTGCGCAACTTCACGACATTGGCACGCATTCCTGGTTACGTGACATTCCAAATGTTGGGTGCCAGTAAGACACGTTCAAGTCTCTCTGTGCCGCCCATTTGCTGATTTTACACCCCAACAAGCACGAGATTTCAACTTCGTTAAAGCATTGAAAGGGGACGGACGGACACATTCATCTTATTGCAGGCTGGTACAATCAGTTAACAACTTAGTTCCTACCAGTAAAATGCCACATCGTCTAAAGTCTAAACAAAGACACGTGTGTGGGGGGAAGGGAGGGAGAAGCGACTTGAGCAAAGGTTTTTTAAAAAAAAAAATTTCGGCGTTACGCTTTGGCGGACAAAGAAACCGAAGGTACGTCACCCTTATCCAACGCTTGCTGGCATCGAGGGGGAGGGGGGGATGTGTGGGGGAGGGGGGCGCCTTGCAAGTCGAGACACCTAGAGGGGACACAAAGCGGATTAAGACTTGAGTGAAGGTGAAAAGGTGCAGGCAAACCTCATCAGCAACCACCCACCAGCACCCAGGCCAACCCCACCACCCAGGCCAACACCACCCCCCCCCACCCACCCCCCCCCACCACCCAACCCCCCCCACCACCCAACCCCCCCCACCACCCAACCCCCCCCCACCACCCACCCCCCCCCCACCACCCAACCCCCCCCCACCACCCAACCCCCCACTCCCCCACCCACCTCCTCCCCCACCCAGCCAAGTGGGGGGAGACCAACAGCCAAGGGGGAGGAGCGTAACAGCCAAGTGGGGGGGGTTATCAACAGCTAAGGGGGAGGAGCCTAACAGACACGTGGGGGTGTGTTAACAGCCAAGGGGGAGTGGCGTAACGGCCAAGTGCGGGGGTTGGGGAGATCAACAGCTAAGGGGCAGGAGCCTAACAGACACGTGGGGGCGTTTTAACAGCCAAGGGGGAGGGGCGTAACGGCCAAGTGCGGGGGTTGGGGAGATCACCAGCTAAGGGGGAGGAGCCTAGCTGACACGTGGGGGTGTGTTAACAGCCAAGGGGGAGGGGCGTAACGGCCAAGTGCGGGGGTTGGGGAGATCAACAGCTAAGGGGGAGGAGCCTAACAGACACGTGGGGGTGTTAACAGCCAAGGGGGAGGGGCGTAACGGCCAAGTGCGGGGGTTGGGGAGATCACCAGCTAAGGGGGAGGAGCCTAACTGACACGTGGGGGCGTGTAACAGCCAAGGGGGAGGAGCTTGTGCGGGCGGTAGGAGAGGGGTGAAGACGGAGGCCATTTTGAGAGCGAGCGGCCATTTTGTTGTACTTCAGCCGCCATCTTACGGCTCTAAAAAAATTTTCTTTAAAACTCTTAATATTAAAAAAAAACTTACAAGATAGCGATTTAGCTACGCCTACTTTAAATACAGCCGTTCGGGGTGGGTCCAAGCCCGTAAGATCAAAAGTAAAAAAAAAAATTTACAAAAAATTCCCCTCACGGTCGCATTAAGCCCGCATATAAACAAACCCATCACAACACGGCATATATACACACTTAGCGCCTTAAGTACCGAGTTATAGACACGCACGTATATAACATACCACACTAGTCGCGATATAATTCTCAGAAAAATATCCCCCCCTCCCAATTATTTAACCGTTAACGACTTTAAATAAAAGCCAAAACTAAAAATCTTACGGGGGGGGAGTTAGTCAAGCTTTGACGGCGTACCGAACGAAGCGTTCGCAACGATGGCTCAAGGACAGCCAATACACCTTCCAAAGCTTTCTATTACACAATTCATAAACACTTCTATTTATAAATCTTACGAAGCTTTGACGGCGTACAGAGAGCAACGCTTTCGCAACGAACGCCTAACAATTTTTTTAAACTCCATACACCTTCCAAAGCTTTACGTTTATATATTTGTAAATATATTAATCTTTTTTTAATAAAGATTAATATATTAATATATTTTAATATCTTACCAGGAGCGCTGTTTTGACGTTCTAAAAATCTTCAATGTCTTCACCAGCGCCGCCGTCGACTGTGAGCTGTGACGCGGCGCGCTCCGCCTTTTATAGCCCCGACCTCGTCACGCCGCCACTTCCGGTCGCGTGTCAATCCGCGGAGAAAAAGTAGTGCGGGGTTTTTTTTTGGTGTTTTTCTTTAAAAGTTCCGTCTCCTTTCGTGAATAACGGAGGAGATCGATAACAGAATCGTCGGCGACTTCTTCCACTGCGCTGAGAAATTGCGATCAGCGGTTGGAAGAGGATTTGGGGGGGGTGGGGTGGAGAAAAATTTTAATTTTAAATCTCGGCTGTTATTTTTTTTGTACTTAAAACTTTTATTTTTTAAAACGTATTATTTTTTCTTTTTATTATTTGCATGCCGTTTTATTATTTGAATTTTTGTATTTTATTTCGACATCTTCGCTTTTTTTGTTTTCTATTTACCGTACGCGACTTTACCGAAAGAACCAAGATTCTCTGGTGTTATTGTTTTGCGCGAACCCGTCCCACCAGGCGGAGTGATATCGCGAGTGGTGGTGGGGGGTGATGCGGTGCTGGAATTTTCCAGTCTCGACCGGAACGAGGGGCGGGGATTTGGTGGGGAGTGGAGGGGGGGGGCAGAAGGGGGGGCGGGGGGAGTGGGGGGCGGGGGGAGTGGGGGGCGAGGGGAGTGGGGGGAGTGGGGGCAGAAGGGGGAGTGGGGGGTGGGGGGAGTGGGGGGGGGAAGTGGGAGAGATAGGGGGGGGTAGTGGGGGTGGATGTAGTGGGGGGGGGGTAGTGGGGGAGATAGTGGGGGGAGGGTAGTGGGGGGGGTAGTGGGGGAGATAGTGGGGGGGAGGGTAGTGGGGGGGGTAGTGGGGGGGTTGTGTTGGGGGTAGTGGGGGGAGTAGTGAGGGAGTAGTGGGGGGGGGGTAGTGGGGGGAGGGGTAGTGTGGGTGGATGTAGTGGGGGTGGTAGTGTGGGGGTAGTGGGGGGGTAGTGGGGGTGGATGTAGTGGGGGGGTTGTGTTGGGGGTTGTGTTGGGGGTATTGGGGGGAGTAGTGAGGGAGTAGTGGGTGGGGGTAGTGGGGGGGAGGGTAGTGGGGGTGGATGTAGTGGGGGGGGGGGTAGTGGAGGGGGTAGTGGGGGGGTAGTGGGGGTGGATGTAGTGGGGGGGGGTAGTGGGGGGTAGTGGGGGGGGGTAGTGGGGGTGGATGTAGTGGGGGGGGGGTAGTGGGGGGGGTAGTGGGGGTGGATGTAGTGGGGGGGGGTAGTGGGGGGGGCGGCATGTGAGACCCCCCCCGCGTCCTTGAGCTAACCCCCTAGGTGAATCTTGGTGATTTCCACACCGCGAGTTTCACCCAACGTTGGCTCAACGTTCGCATGCGGTGGACCCAACGTTGGGAGGTGGTTGGGCTCTCCCCCCTGAGTGAGTGGGTGAGTGACTGGATGGGTGAGTGGGTGAGTGAGTGAGTGGATGAGTGGGTGGGTGAGTGGGTGGGTGAGTGGGTGGGTGACTGGATGGGTGAGTGGGTGAGTGAGTGGGTGAGTGGGTGGGTGACTGGATGGGTGAGTGGGTGGGGGAGTGGGTGGGTGGGTGGGTGAGTGGGTGAGTGAGTGAGTGGGTGAGTGAGTGACTGGATGGGTGAGTGGGTGAGTGGGTGAGTGAGTGGGTGAGTGACTGGATGGGTGAGTGGGTGAGTAAGTGAGTGAGTGGGTGAGTGAGTGGGTGGGTGAGTGAGTGACTGGATGGGTGAGTGAGTGGGTGAGTGAGTGACTGGATGGGTGAGTGAGTGAGTGGGTGAGTGGGTGGGGGAGTGGGTGAGTGGGTGGGGGAGTGGGTGGGTGAGTGAGTGAGTGGGTGAGTGAGTGAGTGACTGGATGGGTGAGTGAGTGAGTGACTGGATGGGTGAGTGAGTGGGTGAGTGAGTGGGTGAGTGGGTGAGTGAGTGGGTGAGTGAGTGGATGAGTGGGTGAATGAGTGAGTGACTGGATGGGTGAGTGGGTGAGTAAGTGAGTGAGTGGGTGAGTGAGTGGGTGGGTGAGTGAGTGACTGGATGGGTGAGTGAGTGGGTGAGTGAGTGACTGGATGGGTGAGTGAGTGGGTGAGTGGGTGGGGGAGTGGGTGAGTGGGTGGGGGAGTGGGTGGGTGAGTGAGTGAGTGGGTGAGTGAGTGAGTGACTGGATGGGTGAGTGAGTGAGTGACTGGATGGGTGAGTGAGTGGGTGAGTGAGTGGGTGAGTGGGTGAGTGAGTGGGTGAGTGAGTGGATGAGTGGGTGAATGAGTGAGTGACTGGATGGGTGAGTGGGTGGGTGAGTGAGTGAGTGGGTGGGTGAGTGAGTGACTGGATGGGTGAGTGAGTGAGTGGGTGAGTGAGTGAGTGGGTGAGTGGGTGAGTGAGTGAGTGGGTGGGTGAGTGAGTGACTGGATGGGTGAGTGAGTGAGTGGGTGAGTGAGTGAGTGGGTGAGTGGGTGGGTGAGTGGGTGAGTGAGTGAGTGGGTGGGTGAGTGAGTGAGTGGGTGAGTGGGTGAGTGAGTGAGTGGGTGGGTGAGTGGGTGAGTGAGTGAGTAGATGAGTGGGTGAGTGAGTGACTGGATGGGTGAGTGGGTGGGTGAGTGGGTGAGTGAGTGAGTGGGTGTGTGGGTGGGTGAGTGGGTGAGTGACTGGATGAGTGGGTGAGTGGGTGAGTGGGTGGGTGAGTGAGTGAGTGACTGGATGAGTGGGTGAGTGGGTGGGTGAGTGAGTGAGTGGGTGAGTGAGTGGGTGAGTGAGTGAGTGACTGGATGGGTGAGTGAGTGAATGGGTGAGTGAGTGACTGGATGGGTGAGTGAGTGAGTGGGTGAGTGAGTGACTGGATGGGTGAGTGGGTGAGTGAGTGAGTGGGTGAGTGAGTGAGTGACTGGATGGGTGAGTGGGTGGGTGAGTGGGTGAGTGAGTGAGTGGGTGAGTGAGTGGGTGAGTGAGTGAGTGGGTGAGTGACTGGATGAGTGGGGTGAGTGGGTGGGTAAGTGGATGAGTGAGTGACTGGATGAGTGGGTGGGTGAGTGGGTGGGTGAGTGAGTGAGTGGGTGAGTGAGTGAGTGAGTAAGTGACTGGATGGGTGAGTGAGTGAGTGAGTGGGTGAGTGAGTGACTGGATGGGTGAGTGAGTGAGTGGGTGATTGGGTGGGTGAGTGGGTGAGTGAGTGAGTGGGTGAGTGAGTGAGTGACTGGATGGGTGAGTGAGTGGGTGAGTCATTGAGTGAATGGGTGAGTGAGTGAGTGGGTGAGTGAGTGAGTGAGTGACTGGATGGGTGAGTGGGTGGGTGAGTGGGTGGGTGAGTGAGTGGGTGAGTTAGTGAGTGAGTGAGTGGGTGAGTGACTGGATGAGTGGGTGAGTGGGGTGAGTGGTTGGGTAAGTGGGTGAGTGAGTGAGTGACTGGATGAGTGAGTGAGTGGGTGGGTCATTGAGTGAGTGGGTGAGTGAGTGAGTGAGTGGGTGAGTGAGTGAGTGACTGGATGGGTGAGTGGGTGGGTGAGTGGGTGAGTGAGTGAGTGGGTGAGTGAGTGGGTGAGTGAGTGAGTGAGTGGGTGAGTGACTGGATGATTGGGTGAGTGGGGTGAGTGGTTGGGTAAGTGGGTGAGTGAGTGAGTGAGTGACTGGATGAGTGAGTGAGTGGGTGAGTCATTGAGTGACTGGGTGAGTGGGTGAGTGAGTGGGTGAGTGGGTGAGTGAGTGAGTGGGTGAGTGAGTGAGTGGGTGAGTCATTGGGTGAGTCATTGGGTGAGTCATTGGGTGAGTCATTGGGTGAGTGGGTGAGTGAGTGGGTGAGTGAGTGGGTGAGTCATTGAGTGACTGGGTGAGTGGGTGAGTGAGTGGGTGAGTGGGTGAGTGAGTGAGTGGGTGAGTGAGTGAGTGGGTGAGTGAGTGAGTGGGTGAGTGAGTGAGTGGGTGAGTGAGTGAGTGGGTGAGTGAGTGAATACATAAATCAGTCTACTCACAGCACTAGCCTCTGGACAACCCTGTGTGCCCTTCTGTATTCCCATGGTAACCCCCCCCCCCCAATACTCGGTAACCATGGTAAACAATGACGTCATTGGCCTAAAAACAACAGCTATAATAAGCCACGTGCTATTGTATAGTTCGACTGGTAAAATGTTAATTAGTTAGCATTCTTAAGCAGTTAAAAATGCTTCGCTTGAATAGAGATTATGTTTATCCGTTACTCAATTGCTACTGATAGTGTAGCTTTGCAGACGTGAACTACATTGCTTAAACACAGCACCATAGACTCAGCACTGCTACCCATAGACTCAGCACTGAGACCCATAGACTCAGCACTGAGACCCATAGACTCAGCACTGAGACCCATAGACTCAGCACTGTCACCCACAGACTCAGCACTGCTAGCCATAGACTCAGCACTGCTACCCACAGACTCAGCACTGCTATCCATAGACTCAGCACTGAGACCCATAGACTCAGCACTGAGACCCATAGACTCAGCACTGCTACCCATAGACTCAGCACTGCTACCCATAGACTCAACACTGCTACCCATAGACTCAGCACTGAGACCCATAGACTCAACACTGAGACCCATAGACTCAGCACTGAGACCCATAGACTCAGCACTGTCACCCACAGACTCAGCACTGCTACCCATAGACTCAGCACTGAGACCCATAGACTCAGCACTGAGACCCATAGACTCAGCACTGCTACCCATAGACTCAGCACTGCTACCCATAGACTCAGCACTGTCACCCATAGACTCAGCACTGTCACCCATAGACTCAGCACTGTCACCCATAGACTCAGCACTGCTACCCATAGACTCAGCACTGAAACCCATAGACTCAGCACTGAGACCCATAGACTCAGCACTGTCACCCACAGACTCAGCACTGCTACCCATAGACTCAGCACTGAGACCCATAGACTCAGCACTGAGACCCATAGACTCAGCACTGCTACCCATAGACTCAGCACTGCTACCCATAGACTCAACACTGCTACCCATAGACTCAGCACTGAGACCCATAGACTCAACACTGAGACCCATAGACTCAGCACTGAGACCCATAGACTCAGCACTGTCACCCACAGACTCAGCACTGCTACCCATAGACTCAGCACTGAGACCCATAGAC